ATGTTCATACTTGTATAAATGGTATTTGAAATTTTATTTTCCAATTGTTCATTGCTCAAATGTAGACAATGCCATTGTTTTTGTATATTGACACTGTATCCCAAAGTGTAGGCAAAGTCATTTCTTGGTACCAGTAGTTCGTAGGTGCCTTTGTATTTTCTACGTAATCACATCACCTGCAAATATGTTCCATTTTACTGCTTCCTTTATGGTCTTGATGCGTTTTCTGTCTGATTCTTGCTGCATTGCACCTGCCAGGACCTCCAGTGTGAGTGGGCGGGGGTCCCTTAGCTGCGGTGTTGGCTGTAGGTGTGTCACAAACACACGGTATCGCTGGAGGAAGTTCCCTTCTATCCTAATTTGCTAAGAGCTATTTTGGAGGTGCTGTTTTTAGGCGTGACTGGCGTTGAACCCGTCAGGCGTCTCCCTGCACCTGCTGGCAGTCGTGTGGGGGCGTCGTTGTTCCGCTGGAGTGCTGAGTGGCACCGATCAGTCGTGAGCGTGAAGTCAGCCCCACGTCCCTTCTTAAGCCTCTCGGCCTCCGCAGCGCTGACGTCCCCGTCTTTGCCTCTCATGCTGGGTCCTGGGCCTTCCTGCCCGGCCCCTCTGGTCGGTCTTACCAGAGACCCTTTCTTTTCTACTTTAATGGAATCTGAAAACTTTTGAAATGTAGCATTTTTGGTAGTATTCAGTTCAATATTTTCTAATTTTCATTACAGTTCGTTCTTTGATCCCTCAAATATTTAGAAATTGGTTTCCTATAAGCGCATTAGCAGCAGGTTTTATAGTTAGCTTTTTTCCCGTTAGCTTAATAGTATGTTGGTCAGAGACCATTGTTCATTACTTCAATACTCAGAAATCTGCTGTGAGTTGCTTTATGCGCTCAATTTTTGTAAATGTTTCTCAATGTAAATAATGTGAGACTCTGAAATCTTTGAGCATAAGTTGGGTCAGATTTGTTTATCGTGTTGTTGAAATCTTTCATTTTTTTATATTGGTTTTTTTTGTCTGCTTGTTCTATCAGTTACTAAGCAAAGTGTGAAAGAATCTTTGCGGATGCATCAGAGTTTTTTTGTAATTCTGTCAATTCTGCTTTAGATTTTTTGGCGTCTGTTACTAACGTTATTAGAATTTGCCTGTTATGTTTTTTCTTTCGTTGTTCTCTCATCCTATGTTTTAGATATTTTTCCGGATAAAACTCCAAACTGACAAGGGTCTTTTAACCAGTGTATTTGACATTTACGTTTAATGTGATTTTACACATACGTGGATTCTATATGAGTCTGTTGCTGCGTAACAAATCCCTCCCAAACAGAGTGGCTCAAAACAACACACATTTATCGTCCCACACGGTTTCTGCGGGTCGGGAGTCCCAGAGCGGCTCACCTGAGCGGCGCTGCCTCAAGGGTGCTCCTGAGGGCCAGTCACGGTGTCCTGGGCTGCCTCGCCTGAGGGTGCGCCTGCGGGCAGGGGACCCGCTCCCAGGAAGCGCCCTCACACGGCCGAGGGTGGGCCCCGCACAGGGCGGCCCGGGTGTCCTCTCAGCGCGGCGCTGGCTTCCCCCGGAGTGAGGGGTTTGAGAGAGGCCACTGGAGTCTCACGCCTTTGTAGCCTCCCCGGAGATGTCACGCACCCCGACCCCGACACAAGGCGGGGGTGCGTGCACAAGTGCGTGAGTGCCAGGAGGGGGGTCACAGGGGTGTCTTGGAGCCCATCAGCCACAGAATCCACCGTCCGACTTCATCTGACTTCTGTTGGCCTCATCCATTCTGTGTTCCTTTTTCTCTCTGTTCTTGCCTTACTTTTGAGGGATTATTTTTCTCTCGTTTCAGTTTTTCCTTCTTCTGGTTTGGAGATTACTGTTTCTGATCTTTCAGTGTCTGCCCCGGAATGCCCACTTGCACGCTTGACTCATCCAAGTCTAACGTAAGGCGGATCACACGCACACCCACCCAGAAAATACGACCTGAGGCTCGGAAAACTGGAGTCCCCACGCCTGACTCGCCGCTGCTGTTGTCAGACGGTTTAACAACGTTATTTAAGACCCTGCCAGACGCTGTTCCCGCTGCTCGCGCGCGGTTTTCCACACTGACCCCACACGCTCCTCTCCGCCCCGTCTCCTCACGAGTCTCGGGCCCAGCGCGGAATCACGTTTGTTCTGCTCGCAGCGGCGTCCCAGAGGGAGGACGGGCGGTGGCCCTCTCAGATGGGCTTTCCGTCTGCGAATGTCTGTTCCGCACTCGTGGGTGACAGAGCGTCTCTGCGGGAGGAGTCCGGGCTGGAGCCACTTCCTTCTGCGCGTCGAAGGTTCCCTTCCTCCTCTCCCAGGCGAGCGTCTGTCTCACCCGCTGCCTTCAGCGCCATTTTAGCACGTACGGTACGTTTGGGTGTGCCATTTTAATTTGATTGATTTAACTGGGAGTTCTTTGGACTTCTCTGACCTGGGCGTAGGCACCATTCATTGGTTTTGGGGTCTGTCAGCCGCTATCTCTTTAAACATCACCCCGCCCCGTTCTGTCCCCTGTCCTGGCAGTTCAGGCCGAACGTTGCTGACCCCCGGCTCTCTCCTCGTAGCTCTGCGCCTCCCTCAGATCAGCCTGACTTGGTTCCCTGCGCCGCGTTCCGGAACCGCCTCCTCGCCTGTCTGCGGCTCACTCCGGAACGCTCGCCATCCACAGACGTCGTGGTTCCGGTCGCTGTGGCCTGCATTCGTGGGCGTTCCAGTTTCTGATACAATTACTTGGTCATCTTCACAGTTCTTTCCCGTGCCTATAATTTCTAAACGGCGTCTGAAATCCCACAGCGAGTTTATACCATCGCTGCTGCCGGGTAATTCCGACCGTCCGCGTTTTCGTGCCTGCGCCGGAGCCACTCGCTCTTGTCTTACTGTGAGCTGCTCGTTTTCTTTGAAAACTGACCATGCGGATTCTTTGATTTCCTTCTGCAGCCAGCTGCCTCCCTTCAGAGCGTGGCCTTTCCCTCTGCCAGGCCCAGGTGGACGCCTCAGGCCCCACCCTAAACCCGCAGCCCAGTGCCCTGGGCTCTGCCCTGCCCCGCCCCTCAAGGCCTGTGGGCAATTTCCTCAAACGCCCCCCGGGGCGGGGCAGGTGGGGAAGGTGTGTTCTGGTTCCCCCTTGCACGGAGCGTGTACCCTTGGGAGTTGCTGCTTTACTGGGGGGCCTCCTACCCCTCTTGGGGACGGTCTCCTGTTCCCACTGGCCATGAGGCCTTGGGGCCCCGAGCTGCAGGTGGGCCTGGCTGGCAAAGCCTCAGAGTGAGGGGCTTCCGGGCGCTGGTCTTTTTGGGGCTCCATCTCCCAGGGGCCCATCTTCCCCTGGCTTGGACTGGATGGTTCCTGACTATTTTGCCAGCTTTTTGTTGCTTTCAAGAAATGCTTGTCCTTGGCCGGGCGCGTGGCTCACGCCTGTAATCCTATCACTCTGGGAGGCCGAGGCGGGAGGATCGCTCGAGGTCAGGAGTTTGAGGTTGCTGTGAGCTAGGCTGATGCCACGGCACTGTAGCCTGGGCAACACAGTGAGACTCTGTCTAAAAAAAAAAAAAAAAACCACACACTGATGTCAATACCAGGCTGTCTCAATCATCATAGTTTTGAAATGTGATAGCGTAAGTTCTTTGTCTTGAAGAAAAATTTTGTTTCTTCTTCAAAATTGTGTTGGCTATTCTATGTCTTTTGAATTTGCATATAAATTTTAGGATCAGGCCAGGCGCGGTGGCTCACGCCTGTAATCCTAGCACTCCGGGAGGCCGAGGCGGGTGGATCACTCAA